CCACTGATGTTTCTGTGTTGCTGCTGAGCACATCAAAATGCTTGATGATTCCCCTCCCGCAATTAAGTTTGTACTGTTTTGAACTTTATCCAGAGCTCATTGTAAATTATAAGTTAGTCTGTGCTCAGTTAACTCTGACTGCCTGTCACTCTTTTCAATCTCTACCTGTCCCGGCTACTTCTGATGCAAATTGGACCAAATGAACAGCAGCAAATCACACTGCTTTCTGATAGCGCTTCAAGGTGTCATCACAGCAAATTTCTCAGATACTGACTCATGATGATATGACAATTTGAAAAGGGGTACTGTATGTGTCGTACTGCAGTGGAGGTTCCCAATTGTATTGACAGAGAACCGGTGATGGAGAGGTTGCTGGATCAAAATGTCAGTCCACATTGGAGATATCTCATCCTTTGAAACATCTGTTTCCCTTTGAGCAACTTGTTAAAAAGCCCAGGACTGACAGTGAAGGTGCCGAGGAAACTCTTTGGTATCAGTTAACAAGTTCTGACTTTGAATAAGGTCAAACTACAGGAATAAGGATAATTATGAAACACCAAAAACCTGATGTGCACCCACATTTCAGGATTTAGTTTGCCATGCTTACTTAGACTGCATGACCAAGATAATGGATGTAGCAAATAACACTGCGTGCCTAGTAATATAATGCATCAAAGATTAGTGCTACAGGAAAAATGTAAGCCAAGAAGACAGGTAATATATTAGCTACATCAGATGAGGAGCAGGGGGTAGCATGTATCTGCAGACCTGGAGGCTACAGTTCCAGGACTTTCAGGACTGCATTTCCAGGACTATAGTTTTTCGTGACACTGCCACCACACCAGAAACCCAATTTGTTCTAAACATATGCAACACTAATGCTATCCCTAACCATAACCATAACATTTACCAATATATCTGGCGATACGTGGTATTAATATATGTGGTCTTAGGACTGCCGTCCTGAGAGTCCTGAAACTGCAGCCTTGTGTACTGCAGAAACATCATTGGAGAAGGGGAAGCAGCTACTGAGGCAACACTTCATTAGATTCTTCTGTTGTCTCCTTGTCATCCTGTGTTATATATTGTACAGACTGTTTTTTGGCAGCATCATGTACTCTCCCCAACCTGTCTCCTTCTATATCCCCCCTTCCTTCTGTAATAACCCCACTGCCATCCCTTCTCGATTTTCCCTCCCTCTCTTTCTGTCTCCTTTCACCTCACCACATATTTCTGTTTCTCCTCGCCCTTGTTAGCATCCTAATATCAATCCTCTCCCCCTCTCTCCTCTCCTTTCCTCTCCTCTCATCTCATCTCCAGCTCCCCTTGTGTCTTTATGCTGCATTTCAGCTTCTCAGCTCTTGTATTCAGAGTAATTGAAATGGAGTACAGCTGTAAAATAAGCTTTAACTGATAATCACTAACATTACATGCAGAGTCTTAAAGGGGGGCAATGGATAAAATGACAGCTGTGAGACAGTAAAGTGCCACAAAAAGACAAAAAATGTAAGGAGAACCATTAACATTTTTTTCTCTGTCCCTCTGTCTCCGTTTTTACCATCAGCTTGTTCCAGTCTCTCTTCTGCTCTTTTTTTTAATCTCCATTTCCAAAATACCACATCCATGTCGGGGGGGTAGATGTTTTCCAAGACTTACTATTAATATTCAGTAGTTTGTTTTCATCTGCCTCTCGTTATTTAAATGATGGACACTTTACTTAAGAAAAATTCATCCTGTTACTTTTATCTTTATTCAGATTTGCTGCGTAAACACATGTTCTGCAGTGTCCTTTGAGGCGTTGCTTGTGTCAAACATGCACACACAGCACTGAGTGTGTATTTGCATGTTACACCTGCACTCTGTTCGCTATCCACTACACACAAACAAAGCTGCTTGCTATCTTTGCCTGCGTTGTTATGACGCTCCATCCTTCTATTCCCCAGCCTCCATGGCTCCTGAGGGACAGCCCATGTTGTTCTCTCCTTCAGCTCTCCTCCTCTCCCTTCTCACTGTCGTTCTCTTTCCTCACCCCTCCCTATAGCTTTATTTCCCATAACCATCACTTGCAACGGCAATCTGTCGTTCTTTGCTTCCTCCCTCTCTCTCTCTCTCTCTCTCTCTCCATCTTCGCATGTCTTAAATGTTACAGTTATTGCTAACAGGCAGTTTCTTCCAATAAACATTTACCTACATTATTTGTGTCTGTTTCAGTCTCTTACTCTTTCTCTGCAGGGTTGAAAGAGCAGTGCAGAGTAGAGATCTCTTAACGACGGTTAGAGATTTTACAGAGATAGTACATCCATTAACACACAGAGACCATGGTCCCATATTCTTATTATTGAGTTCTGCTTTGCTAAACAGAACATATTTAAACATTTTAAGAGTGACAGAGTGGTGTGTATGTGAGGATTTGTATGAGTATCTTTGTGTCTGTATTTGCATTCATACCCTCCACCATGTTTGTGTGTGTCCCTTGAGGTTTTCCTCATTTCCCTTCATCACGTAGCAGAAACAGAGGGCTGAACTGATGGTTAATGTAACTGCTGAACATATTGCCTGAACTGTTGAGTCTTTCTCTGTTTCTCAGAGCAGAACAGTTAACCTGTGTTGGACAGTAGCAACAACTCATTTTTATTAGGATTTCATACACTGAGAACAGTAAACATTCAGGGCAGCTTCCTCATATTGAGTTGCCTTTTTGGTTTGGTCTATTCTCAGTTACTTAAAAATTAATCTTCAATAAATTTCCTCCCTCTCCACTGCTTTGATTTAAGGATTTATGTGGATCAATAAGTGCTCAGACCTTCCCCTTGTATTCATTTGCTCAACTATACAGTATTTCTGATATATAGTTAATAGCGATATAAAATACATTAAAAAACTCAACTCCAAATGATCTCATTAATTTTCCTAGAAAGCATTTCCCACAGCTTCCTTAAGGTCTTCATTAAAGTGCTGATTCTAAGTCATGCCACTTATCTCAGAGAGTAATCCTTAATTAGAACTCAAGCCCACAACGGATTGACAGAACTGACCTTGGATCAGCCTACACGCTGGATAATGGTGGCTGTCAGCAGCTCTGTTTAATTGGATGGCAGATCTGAGATCAGTGTTGTAAAAGTTGCTGATTTCAAGGGAGCACACTGCAGAGAGAGGTAACAAAATAGTGGTGCATAGAACAGCCTGGGGAATAGACAGAGAGAGGGATGGGCAGTTTCATGCAGAGCAATACAGCGAATAGTTGATTAAGTCAAGTGATTTGTGTCGAGACATGACATCTCATTAGCTGTACCAGCACCACAGTTCATGTAGTAATAAACAGATTGTATGTAACATGGGCACTGTTGATGTTTGACACAGTAACACTTGTTGGATTGTAGGAGTCTTGCTGATCAATTATGACATGTTACTGTGTCTAATGAAACTGCAGAATGGGTGGCAGAGGGTGCCAATAACGAGTGACTCATCCAGTCATTTTTTTTCCAACACGCTTGGACTGGCGCACCTATAAATACATGTGAAGACCTGCAATAGACCAGCACTTTCCAACCTTAGTTTAGTGTTTGGCTCACATGTCTGAAATGGAAAATTCCCTAGACATATTGCCTACAAGATAGTAATACATTCTTGTAATCCATTGTGACTGAATACAATGCTTTTGTGCAAGAATTAAAGATGATGAAGATTGATACTACTTTCATCTCTGTACACTAAAGATGAAGCTACAACCAAAAATTAGCTTAGCATTTAAGACTGGAAGCAGAGTGAAAAAGATAAGAATGGCCCTCGAAAGCTCAGTAATGAATATATTATGTCTTGTTCATTAAATCCATACAATAACAGATGTGTAAAAATTAATACTTGTGAGGTTTTTTATGGGAAGCTACATGCTGGAATTACTTTGCAAAGTCACAACGCCTGGCCAACACATGCAGCTTTGGAGATGCTGGTATGTCTATTTTTCAAATTTTGCACAGAGCCAGGCTATAGCTGTCACTTCGATTCCAGTCTTTATGCTAAGCTAATGACCTGCTAACTCATGGTTACTACATGGCTAGCTTACAGATGTCAACTCATTGAGCATTTGTCAAGATAGCAAATAAGTGTTTTTCCAATGAACAACTCTCTTGACTTGAAAATGAAAAGATGTTGCTGGGCTTAAAATTTCACTCACATGCACTTTGCAAAAACATCGCCTGGAATGGCCTAATAACACACTCTTTTTTCCAATTATCTGTTTGTTTCAAAGATGCACCAAAAGCCACAGACATCAATGAGTTAGTATTCTGAGAATCTAAAATTATCTGTAGCTGCCTACCAAATATCTTTTGGTACGTCTGAGAGGATTTTAAAAGCCGACCGCAATAATTCCTTTTAATTTGGTGCATCACAGTAATGGTATGATTGATATGAAAGATGAACAGTAATGTAATATGGCTGACAAATGAGATCTTGTTGACATGCTGAATACAGAGGAGAGCTGAAAGCTGATGCGAAGACTCAAGCATTAAATATGCTTTCTGTTCAGCAATGTTATTCACAGTTACACATGTTCAGAAGAGGAAAATTTTTCTGCAAGGATTCAGACTGAGTTTTAAAGACTAGCAGATAGAAGGCTACATAAAATTCCCCGAGGCCAGGTTAAAAGAGCAGATAGTGCTGCCTGTGTTTCGCTAAACCCACTTCACCCAACCCAGAAAATAAGTGGGATGCAGGAGTGCAGCACCCAGCCATGTTGGAGTGGTGACAGATCAATTAGCACCTGTCACTTTCTCGCTTTCCGTCTCTCTGTCGTCATCGTCGCACTTGTGTTCCTATTATATTTTTCTGCTTCTCCCTCCCTCTAAGTCTGAGCAAGGAGAGCGCTACAATGATACACAATTAACCCCAGTTTCCTCTCCTCCTCCTTCATTTCTCTCTGTCTGCTCCTATGTCCTTTCCCTCATACTCTCCCCTCCCTACGACTTTTCTTTCCCTCTGTCTCCTCTGCTTCAATGCAGACTGATCTAGAGCCTCTGGACCCTCGTGGTCGGACTCCTCTCCACCTGGCTGTCACACTGGGCCACCTGGAATGCACCAGGGTCCTGCTGCAGCATGGAGCTGACGTTAGCAAGGAGAACCGCAATGGATGGACCGGTGAGTCTGTGTGAGTGTGTGCGAGTGTGTTTGGTGTGTGTGTGTGTGTGTGTGTGTGTGTGTGTGTGTGTGTGTGTAGAAAGTTAGTACAGTTGTGGTAGCATTCATAATGCACAGTATACAGAACCCATTATTAAACTGTGTGTTGGGGGTTTGGAATGTGCTTCAAGATAAAGGGAATTCATGTTCATACATTTTATGCAATAATATAATAATATATTGTCAAAGATGATATTGTGGTATAATTAGAATAAACAATGAGACCACGGTGGAGAGGAATAGTAGATTCTGTCTCACACTAGTGGTTAATATTATGACCACATTTCCCATGAACTCTTCTACCTCTTTTGGGGGATAAAAATGTTATGGATTTATGCAGATAAATGTGAACACTAGCTCATTCTCCACACAGAAATACATTTCCCACAGTGCAGACCAAAATACTGTCATTCTTATGCTAAGTGTTTGTCTTATGATAAATGGGTACCACGTTTTTTTTTTTTTTCAAATTCTAAAATCATAATAACAAAATCTTAATCTGTTACCAAGAAACAAATCAGGAGCTAATAAGTAGTAAGTTGCTTCTAATTAACCAGTTTCTAATATGTTCCTTTGTCTTTCCATGGGTAACTACAGGTCTTTTGGAATAAGTGCTCATTTATTGTACAGTGTTACCATTTATTGATGTTAAAATGTTACCTGTACCTGTGTGTGTACCAGACTACACACGGCTTCACACTCACTCAGTAATCCTCCTTGGTCTGTTCTGTGATGTGTTTTAATTTATTGTTCAAAGTAAAAAGAAATTGTATTCTGGTCTTGCATGTTTGCAGAGCAGAAAGTTTAAACTGCCCAGCAACATCATTTGCAGTAACCCAGTGAAAAAAACCCAATCACAAATGACCTGAAAATGCTGCAGTTTTTGTAAGTGGCCCCCTTGGTCACAATAAGAAGTCTATGATAATATATAATGTACGATACATCATACACTATATTTGCAAAACAGTCCTCAGTAATGTTTCCCGCTGGCTCTATTTGACGTGGGCATTGATGGTTAGCACAGTTTTGGCCTCTTAGTGATTCTGAAAAAAACAAAAAAAAACACTCGATGTTTCTCTTCACCAGCTCTTTTGCAGAAGGAAGGTGGCTTCTGCCAGACATGTCTGTGCTGGCACTTTGCAGTGTGGTGTGGAGTTAGGTCTGGCTATGAGAGACTGAGCATGAAATCAATTATTTTTTTAACCTTGAAATTATATTGGCTGGTATAACACCCATTACTGGAGTCCGATATCTCACCTTCAATCATAGGTTTTTGTTGTCCCTCACTATTTAATTGTGTAACATGGCAAGTAAGGCTTTTTATGGATTGAATAAATTAAAAGTGAAATATTTGTCTTTTCAGTCTGTTGTTGCAGAATATCATTATGTCATGTGTGAGTATATGTGCACGTCTTTTTGTAGTTGTGTGGACAAATTTCAGTTCGAATCGTTGTGAGCATATTTTGGCCGATCCTCATATCCTCAAAAGCTTGTTAGATGGTTAAGACTCAGTTTTAGTGTTAGGGTAAGAATTAGGATTAGGTTAGAGGTAAGGGGTATGGAAATGCATTATATCAATAAGTGTCCTCACAAGAAAAGAAAGACCTATATGTATGTGTGTGTGTGTGTGTCTACCCTGACTCACATGTTTGCTAATAAAGAAAAAGAAAGGAAATTGATGTATAATTGTCCAAGCGTAGAGCAGCCTGTAAGATTAACAGCAAAGTGGCGGTCTGATGAATGACAGGCAAGCTGCAGTAATTGGTCGTACCAGATTTTCCGTTGGCCTACTTCAGTTTCTCTTCAATTCTCACGGCCCCCTTAAATTGCTCAAGTGCATAAATTTTAGATGAGGCATGAGTGATTGGCTCTGTTTTACTCTCCTTTTTTCTCTCTCTCTCTCTGTCTTTCAGTTCTTCAGGAGGCAGTGAGCACCAGAGATCCGGAGTTGGTGCGTCTCGTGCTTCGTTACCGTGACTACCAGAGAACTGCCAAGAGACTGGCGGGCATCCCCGTCCTGCTGGAGCGGCTGCGCCAAGTGGGATTTCACACAAACACACGTACAACACTTTGATGCACATATGGAAAAAGATACCCTCCCATGACCACACACACACACACACACACACACACATACACAGGCACAAACAGGCATACATGAAGATTACACACGGAACAAAACACAAATATGCACAAACTACAAAGGCATATCAAAGAGATCTCTGAGCAGAGATGCATTCATTTGAAATGTAGATGAATCTTTTTAATATTTATTTTTGTTTTAGGGTAAAATATTCTTAGCTTTGTTTGAAGGTATGAATAACTTTGTTTACTATTTGGCAAAGGAAATAGACTCAAATGTCTCCATGTTGCAAAACTGGGTAATCTGAGTCATCACTAGCCTCTAAAGGGGTAAGGAGTGCCGTCCTTAAAGCCACAATAGCAGTAACGGAGAATCTCAGACTGGAGAGACTGAAAGCAGGTTATAATCCTGAGAGGAAAGTGTGGAGGTGCAGTAGATCATATTGAACCTGCTGCAGCAATAGAGCTGCAGAGAAAGGCAGGAAAGATGCAGAGAACTGCCTTCACAGACTCTGTCTTCCTGTGCATGTGCTCCAGCTGGCTCCCTGATTCGCACACACACAAAATCAAACACACACATACACACGCACACACACACCCTAGCATACTCACATGGTAGACACAACACCCTCACACTTTGAAAACGACAATGAATACTCGCACTCGAGCACACATGCACACAAACATCCAGCACATCACAATGTTCCTCATCTGCTGCTGTTCTCACCCACATCACTCTCCTCTCCATCCATCAGTTCTATTATTAAAACACCCCCCCCACACACACACACACACACACACACACACACACACACACACACACACACACACACACAAATACTTCGCCAGTTCCTCCATCTTTGGCACAGACAATGAAGCAGCATCCCCGCACTTGTTCACTCTTTTCTCTTTACGCTCACTCTTTTCCTTTTCCTCTCTCTGTCTATTCATATTTTCATTTATCACTCTTTATCTCCCCAACTCTCTTTCTCTGTCTTCCTCTTTATCAATGCCCGTTACCTTCTAATTTCTCTTCCTATCCCTCTCCTTCTCTGCTGTCTGTCCAGGCCCAGGACTTCTATGTGGAGATGAAATGGGAGTTTACCAGCTGGGGTGAGTCTCGCCCTTGTGTCATTACAGTCAGTAAAACAGTCCAGTGCTGACCAGTCAGAACTAATCATGTTATTTTCTCCCTCTGGGGCTGAAGAGCCTGTTTCTTCCTGTTGTACTGGACACTGAAGCTCACACACTTCCTGCTCAGCAGAATGTAAATGGCATTTCATCCATAGTACTTTGCAAAACCTCTAGTGACTGTGCTGTATTTTCAGACCACACATATAGCCGCTGAAATTCACCTGTCAGAATGGATGTAATGGACTACTGAGCCCAACAAGTGCCGATGCAAAATGAAAACACAAAGAACTGCAGAGTTAAATCCTGTACATATCCATTAGTAATGGCACAGATTGATCAAAGTACATCTGTGTTTGCCCTCAGTGCCCCTGGTGTCTCGTATCTGCCCCAGCGACACCTACAGAGTTTGGAAGAGTGGTCAATGTCTCCGTGTTGACACCACCCTGATGGGCTTTGAACAGATGACCTGGCAGAGAGGAAACAGGAGCTTCATTTTCAGGGGACAAGGTCAGAGGTCACACTCGAGCCTCACTCTGTGTGAATGTGTGTGTGTGTGTATGAGATACATTTAGTCCTAAAGCACTTCTATTTCATATTTGTACACATAACTCCTTGTAAAATCCTTACCTGGTGTTATTACTTAGTTAAGCTAACATGCTGGTGGTGGTAGCTTAAAGAACAGTCATGAGAGCAGTATCAACCTTCTCAACAAACTCTCGGCAAGAAAGCAATATGTATGTTTCCTTTCCTCCTCTTCCTCACTGTCTCCTTGGTTTTCTATCCACACAATGACATTGACTCCCTTTCAACACCAAAAAATGTGATATCTTGGGTGTGATATAGATACAGTTAATAATGAATCACTGGGCAGGAGGATCATAGGGTGTAAATAGTCTACAACAGCAATGTTGCAGTTAGTATTCTGGTGTTATAACCTTGTACATAAATAGGTGTTGAGGCGCCAGAATCAGCAAGACAACACTGTCTCTTCTGGGTGCTCATGTGATTTCACAGGTCCAAGTTGAACAAAGCTGGAGTTTAAGAAATACTGTCTTGTATTTATCAGTCACACAGGCTTCATTTGAAGTAAATGTGATATGGAGCAAACAGTCAAAGAAACTAGTGCAGGTGTGATTTTACTTTCCAGGATGATCCTCTCTGTCTCTCACCCTGTCTAGCCTGAATGCACAGCTCTTTCCAACCAGTTGACTCTCTATTGTCTCCTCTCTGCAATATTTCACCCAGTTCTTCTTTTACTTTTATATTTCTCTTGCTCGCCACTTTAAATTATTTCTCCTCTTCTGACCTTTCCTTGGGCTTTTTTGAGTTTCTGCATAATATCCCCACTCTCTGTGTTACTTTCTTCTGGACCTGCCTTTTTAGACAGTTAAATGGTTCTGTCCTTTTCTTGGTCCATCTGCAGCATCTGCAGTCTCTTGACATCAATCATCATATCTTTTGATTTTTCATTACAAGTACTTTTTCTTGTTTGTGTCTTCCAGCCTCCTGGACATGTGTGTAGTGATGTACTTTCCCACTCTCAATTTTCTAATCTGCTTCTTTCTTGCTCACTGACACTGCCTTCATTTTTCTCTTCGTGTCTGTCACCCTCTTGCCTCGCAGACTCCAGCGCAGAAGTGATGGAGGTGGACCACGACAGGCAGCTGGTGTACTGTGAGACCCTGTGCGTCTCATCTCTCACAGCGCTTTCACCTGGCCGGGGGAATGGGGGCGCCTGCAGCAGCAATGCTGCCAGTTTGGGTCTTCTGGGGGCGACGCAGCCCAGCGACGAGCAGGTAGCAGCCAGGCTGTCTGCCCCTGTGGTGACCACTCAGCTGGACACCCGCAACATTGCCTTTGAGAGGTCAGTCACAATACTGATGTACAGCATATGAAGTTACAGTAACGTTTCTTCTAAACACTTTTTTCTTATTTTTGTGAATAATTACGCCAGCTGAGATGATGTAATGTGTCAATCTCTGATGCGATGAAAATGAAGCATAAAATCTTTATCAAAGAGCATCTGTGGGGCTTCTTTCTAGTCTCACCATTTTGTTTCATCATGTTTAACAATCATGGATAAATATAATTTTCTCCACCAGCACTAGCTTCACTGCAAAATGATACAATTCAGCCACAGGATATGTTCTGCTGTTAGTGCTGGCTTGTTTTTTTTAACTGAGTGGAGAAAATAACTCTTGTGTTGTTACTGTTGAATTTCTGTCCCTCTCTCACATGGCCACAACTGAGTGGAACAAGTTCAGCCACGTTCTCTATTGGCTGTCAAAATGCATTTCACAAACTGCAGGAAAACACTAACAGAAGCAGCAGTAGAGGGGAAAGTGGAGAAGACAAAAACTCATGTTGAACTAATTGTGAGATCATGTTACTGATATTACTACAACAGAGCCAAGCTGAGGGAATGTCCCTGTAATTAAAGTGCATTAAACTACTGAGTTAATTCTAAAATCTTGCTGTATTTCTAAGACAAACTACAAAGATTTTGGAAAAAAAAAGTCTTCCAGTTACAAATGAAAAGTTGAATTCAGAACACACGATTGCTCATTTACAAACAGGTATATTTATTCTTGTATGACTGGTAGCTCATGTCGTCTATTGTTGCTAATGCTAAAGTTTAGCATTTAGCCATTTTTTTCTTTCTTTTTTTTGGGGGGGGTGGGGGGGGGTCTTTTTAACACTGGGCCATAGACTAGAGAGTAATTAGACATATAAGCTCTAAACTCTTTCCCATTTATACTTTTCTTTTTGTCTGTTGAAAAGAGAATAGCACTGTCCCAGTGTCACGAATTAGCATGATGTGGAGGTAGTGACAAATTAGCTTCAGGCTGTGAATCACGCTCAGACCACTTCACAAAAACTCAACTCTCCAGTGCAAGTACAATGCACCAGTGAACATGGAGATGGAGAGGCAGATAGCAGAACGAAAAGACATGAAAGAGGCAGACAACATACAAGCTGACGAGAGGAAAAGACTGGAGAAAAGCAGCAAAAGTAAATGGGATGAGCAGGTGACTCGTGTGCAGTCAATTTAAGAGCTGTTTAATATGCTAAGGATTCAGTTGTATATCTCAGTTTTACATAAAGTGACTTTAATGCAGAGATGTAAATGAGGGGAAAAGGGAAGAGAGATGGCCTAAGCAAGGGCATACAGGACAGAACTCATCTCATTCTGGTCAGGCGGTGAGATAAGACTGATGTGACAGAGAGGAAGAGAGAGGCATGACAGAACAAGGGATATTTTCGACAGAGAGAGATGGAGGCAAGAAAATGTCAAAGAGGAGGATGAAAGGGCAATAAAACAAATAGGATGGAGGAAGAGATTTGGAGGAAAAGGGATGAGGGAGTGAGATGAGACGCAGTGAGAAACAAGGAGAGAAAGATGAATGGGACACAAGGAGTATGGGGGAGGAAGCAATATAAGTAAGCTAAAATAAAGGGAGTCAGTGGTTTTGGAGGCAGGAGGAGAAAGGGGAGGAAAATAGACCTCGGAGTGACCCAGTGATAGATAGAGATGCAGAGACTGGAAGTGAATAGTAACAGATAAAAAATGAGTGGGTAAGAAGGCGAGGAGAACGACTCAGCGAAGTGAGGAAGGAGAGGTGGCGAATGGAGGGGTAGGGTGGGGGTTGGGTAATCTTCTCCCTGTCAGACTTGTACCTCAGTGTCACCTCTGTGCATTTTCCTTGGTCAGCACTCCTCTCTACATGCCAATAATCTATTTATGATGCTTTCGAGCAAACCACTTTGTCAAGCACCCAAGACAGGACATCCACCTCTGGAGTTAATACGTCTTTATGCAGCCATGCACAAAAACTACAGCACTGCAGTTTTGCTGTTTTAGGGTTGAGTTAACAAGTTGAAAGTTTACTGAGCCCTCAGTAATTGAGCTGCGAGACATAACATAATGTGACATTGGATTGGGTGGAGGACAAGAGGGTCCACAACCATGCTAGCGGCTCTGTGAGGCTGTATGTGGGCACGTTTCATTATGAAAGTCTTCTACACCCACCTGGGATGATTAAATCAAGAAGTTTCCTCTAACTAGTGTTTGGTTATAAAACAAAGTATTGGACAGATTTAAAATTTGAACCCTATGGTGGTGTGAGATGAAAAGTCAGAGGATTACCCATTAGTACAAACCATCTCGAGGAGGACATGATTGCCTGTAAAAGATTTCATGACAATCCACCTAATACTTGTTGAGATAATTAAGTCTGGACCAAAGTGGTGGACCATCCAACCAAATGGCATCATCCCTAGAGCCATGCCACTAACATGGCCTTCTCTCAAAATTGTCACAGATCGAAAAAAATATTATTAGTTCAAAAATATAAGGGCTAAAATGAGGGAGGAAAACACTCTCTAGATCTCACTTTCTGTTGTTTGGTCCAGAAGGAGTTCAGTGATGTGAACAGAACATGAAGATGGGATACGCTTCACTAACTTCTCGGCAGACTCCCTAATTGCAAACCGAACAGCTGATCTTCACTGACAAACAACAAAGACAGTGGCTGCACTGTTTTCAGGCTGTATATTAAAGAGAAAAACCAGAGCCTGTGACTTGCAATGTAAGGGGAGATCGTTGATTTTACTCTCCAGTGTGCTGTGTTTATGATTTTCTCTTAGGCCAGTAATCTACACCAACTGTGATTGAAAGCATTATGCTGACTGGAGCAGAGTCTAGAACAGAGAACAGAGAACTGATCCGAGATGTGCTGAATCTGTGTTGCAGGAATAAGACGGGTATCCTGGGTTGGAGAAGTGAGAAGACTGAAACAGTGAATGGATATGAAGCCAAGGTAGAGAACAGGCTGCTCAGACAGCTCGCTGATCTCGCACACTGTCCAGAGAAACCACCACTGTCAGAGCTCGATTTGATATTTCCTGAAAGTCCACTTCACTTGAAGAGTTTAATTTCCAGAATGAATCATTCCCAAAGTTATTTTAAAACCACTGCTTTAGACAATCGAGGACATAACCTTCTTCATTTTAAAATAATGGCAGATGGATTTCAGGAACCTGTCATTTCAATTTGATTTTTCTTTAAATACAACAATTAAGCACAAAATCTTTACCCTCAGAGGAGAAATATTCATCAGCAGATACAACACCAGGTGGCTTCTCGAATCAAGTTAAAAAAAAAGGACTCTATCTGTCATAGGCACTTGCATTACCTTGACCCCATTTGTTTTCTTGACCCCCTGGAGGGATCGATGGGAGACAAGTGTAAGACACCGAGGACCATCTGTCACTAGTGGTTTAAAAGCACTTCAGACAGGCTCTGCAGTAAAATACTTCTGCCTGAAAAGCATCTATTTTCTGCATCATTGATTTAGAGTCACAAACGTAAACAGGCAACTCCTGTTGAGCGTCTCCCCTCCCGGACAGACGCTTTTTACCTCTTCCTTTCCCTCATCTGTCGTCCAGCGTAAACTCAGAGTCAGCATCCTGCTCAATTTTTAATCAGTATTTTCTTTTTATGGTCACTAGTGAGGAATTCCAGTGTTGTGCTGTGGACTGTAACTTGAAGAAGTTGACCTCTGTCCTGCAGACTTGGAGCTAGGGGTATAATGGTACACACAATTCTTGGTTTCAACTCATTAATTTTTGGGAACTTTATTTCCTCTTTGCCACCATCATTCTCTAGTCCTAATGTCTCTTTTGTGTTCCTGACCCTGTGTCCTCTTTAATACCTTAAAAATAGTCTCAACATTGTTGTTTCACTTTGATGCTTCATGACTTTTCCTAATTGTTTTGGCGACATGTAGACCCCGACTAACCTTGTTGTAAAACATGGTTCAGTACAATGGATTTTCATTAGCTCCATGTCTGTGATTGGTTTTTACAATTCTTACTATAAAACGCAACCCCTTCCAAATCCTAAATAAGTATATAGGGATTTCTGAGTGTTATAGCAGTTTGCCGATAAGAGCATGGAGTTCTAGCATGGAGTTTGACCTTTCTGGGGAGTAATTGAGTAACTTCACTGTGTAGGACAACATACTGTACATTTTCTGCATATTAGGTTTTAATCACACCAGAAGGAAACAAATGATATTCAAAAGGAAGTAAAGCCAATGTCAACAGAGCACAAGAGTGAATGGCCTCCTTGTCTTTCAGGTGTATGCAGCATCCAACGTGGAGCTCATCACCAGGACCAGAACTGACCATCTGTCAGACCAGAACAAGAACAAGACAAAAGGTTAGTAGCTTAAGTTTGACATTCTGTACTTGACCGCCAAGTGAGCTTTAGACATTGTCACCTTGTAGGCCATCAGGATGATCTTAATGTGCACTTGCATCACAGCTCCAACAGCTGAATTCCTCCATTATCACAGCTGTGCCGCTGTAACTTCCAGCCTAAGTGCTGCGACATGTCTGATGAAAGAGTCACTGATGAGTAATCCTTCTCACCTGAGCCCAATGAGCTCACCCTGAGGCTCCGGCTAACAGCCTGTAATGTTCACTCGGTGGATCTGTCTCATTTTCTGGTTCAGATCATAAATCAAACAGGATTAGCAGGCTTCCCTCCCTGAATTGTCACTGTCAGGCAGGATCAACCATCACACGCTCCTCTGAGAGCCCCTCTCTCCCAGGTCACAATCCCCATCTGCTCTCTGTTAATATGCAGGAGTGAGGTGTTCTTGGAAGCCCTGCTGATTCTTGAATGAGTGACTCACTCCTGTTGCCCTTCCCTTGTGCTACTTTTCCATCATTTTGTTAACACTGCTTATAGTGATATACAGTATACATATATATATGTATGTATGTATGTATGTATGTATGTATGTATGTATGTATGTATGTATGTGTAAGACAGACTTGAGTCAAACAGCAGATCAGCTGTCCAAAGGTCAAAATGTAGCCACTTATAAACCACTCTACTACACCGCTGACATTAACAATAATTGATGGACCTTTGCATTGCTTTTAGCACTCAGTTTCTAGCTAGTGAGGACAGCCACAGCACCAGTACTTTCTGAGAATATAAGATACATACTAATAAGCTACTTACATCTGTCATATCTAAATGAGCAGCGGCTGTTGGTATTCCCACACGCTCTAGTGTGTACCTTTATTGTGGGTGCTTTTAAAGAGACTGAAATCTTATGTTCTCAGTCAGCTTCTTACTGTGAGTGATGGGATCCTATATGAGCATATTATTTTTGGCTAAAGTAAACACAGTTTTGTTCGTTTCCCATGACAAATTTCATTTTTTCATCTGTGCTCTCCTCACTGGGAAAAGTTGGAAAATTGTGCTGTCACCCCTCAGGAATCAATGACATTTATCTAGTGATAGTTCATGGATTTTTGGTCACTGTCAATCAAGACTGATCAAAGTACATCAAGACTGTCCTGATGAAGCAGATAAGCCAAGTTTTACATGTTAAACTCTTTATAAATTGTACCTAAAGATGTTTCTTTTTAATTTGATATTACATTTTATAGGGAAGTTTTCAGGGACTTCAGAATCCAAAAAAGATAAATTGCTATTTCGAAAAAAGTTTAGGGTAGGAAAGACTCCAAGCATCTGTCATTTTCAGAACTTATATTATCATCCAATAGCTGTTGCTTGTTTAGATTTCTGGTTTCTATAAACATCTGCAGCCTAATTGGGACATTAACTTGCAGTTTTCCTACATTCAGCTTTTTAATATTGTGCACAGTCAGACACTGTAGATTGTAATTTGAGTTTAGTTATAGAAAGAGGGTGTTGGGAGTAGAGATGTACAATGAAATGTATAACAGGAAATGGTTTTACTGTCTATTTATAATGTTTTTTAAAATTGTAATTTTTAGGTTTATTCACATAAAATCATATTCCATGTTACTTTGACTCATTTCAGTTTAGTACAACATGGCTTTGCTCATTTCAACTCAGTTTCTAAGCAGATCATAAGACCACAACACAAAAGCTTGAATAAAATGCAATAAGTTATCTTGAACAAAATGACAGCAGACAGCTGTGGTGGAGATAAATGAATGATGAATGGGCACCAGCTTTCCAGGTCTGAGGAAACCTGAGGATTTGGAAAAGTCGTACAAACGGGACTGAGACATTGTGATTGTGTAACTGTGTCCTCTCAGTCCAACTCATCACTATTGTGTTGCTCTGAGCAGGTGGGAAGACTCCACTGCAGAACTTCCTCGGTATTGCAGAGCAACACATGGGTCCTAACAACGGGGTGAGTCAGAAGTTTATTCAGATGTCAACACAATTTTGCTGCTTTTCACACGGCCTATTGTGTTTAAATGAAAGAGATTAAATGTTTCAGTGGGTTGAGAAAATGTCATAAAACCACATAAAAACCGATCTGATAAATTAGGAATCAACTTGTAGTTAATCTGTTTTTCCTGGCTTCCCGACATGTTTTTGAGATTTTGGAGGAAGGAGGTTTTCACCTGAAAACAGTAGTACATATATATATTTTATATGTTTTGCTGCTGGCATTACAAGTGGGCTGGAGAGGTATTTGCAGACATCATTATAATCACCCTGTGAATAGCCATCGTAGTGATAATAGTAATCACAATCAGCACCGTAACAATTGCCCTCGTGAGTGAATTATCATCTTAATTATTAACATCGTAACCACCGCCTCCCCTCTTTAGCTGGACAGTGAGTGTATGATCGCCGGCTGCTAAGTCAACTGTGTCAACAGGAGAGCATGCCTGCAGAGTAAAACAATCACTCAGCGGCTCCAGTCTGCTCTCAAATATTGATTATGTTTTTTAATTTGTTTCTGCTGGAGAGCATTGATGACTCATACCTCCCTCCTACTCCTCTTTTTGTATTCTGTATTTTTACTTGTCCCCCCCCCCATTGTTGCCTCTGCTCTTTTCAACTCTCTGTGCCTCTGTCTTCTCCCTCCAGACCTCTGTTCGCTCAGCAGAAGCTTTTTGCAGTTTGATGTTTGCTCTGCAGATATTTTGTGCAAGTGTAAAGCTGTTATGTAGTTTGGTTTCAATTTTGCCAAACTCTAAAATTTAAAGTGGCATTTGACTCTGATTATCTGCAGCCAGAAGAACAATTTCGTCTCCCTCTAATGGCGAGGTGCCCACTTTGACAGATTTATTAAAGTCACGCTCAACAGTTGACAAGTGAGGGACTAATTAGCACAGTAACCCAAGAGATGCATCTACAGTAATGATGTAAAATACTGGCGTAAAAGAAAGCTTTGTCATTTGCTCTCAATTTTGTGCTGGAGAGGAAATCTTTCTCTTTCTCTGAGTGGTTGAAAATGTCAGGAGGTAAAAGGAAGCCCTTGAAACCCCAGTGGGTGTCGAGTTTTTTGTTACATAGCAGAGAATAACAAAGAGAGCTTTAAAAGCCAGAAATCTTTGCACTTTGTAAAGCAGTCTTTAAGTCACTGGTATTGATTAACAGTCCTTTTTATTTTATTACGAATGAGTTAAAGCCTTACTGTCTTTGTGAGAGTGTGGTTGTATCAGGAATATTTCAAATTCATTTTATTCATTATTTACTATCTGCAGGCCCTGGTGACCCAGATGTCGAGTCCTGCGGTGACCAACCCCTCAGCACTGACGGCTGAGGAATACTTCAACCCCGGCTTGTCATCGACTCAGAGGGACATTGGCCACCCGTGCCAGCTCACCACAAAGACCCAGAGGTGACACAGGCTGACAGGAAAACAGACAGGCAGCCATGCATACAATGAAGTCGCCCCCCAAACTCACCGCCAAGTGCCAGAGCTGACAAACTGATGGACACAGAATAGACACACACACATACAGGCAGTGTAAAATCAGCCGTCCATGACAGCTGACCACTAAGCTCCTGAGGTGAAAGACAGTGAAAGTGGGCAATAAACAAACACACAGACACATCGTCACACATTTCAGGAGTGGAATTTTTCCAAAACTGGAGGAGACAGACGATTAGAGACAGTCTGTCTCTACAGTCTATCACACAGCTCCGGCTTGATGACTCATGACAAATCATCTTTACTTCACGATTAAAGAAATAAAACAACAAATTAAAATGAAGGAATCCTGCAGTGTCCCTTAGAGACTGTGAGGAAATGGCAAAAAATGTGTGAAAATGTGAAATCAAAGAGGGACTTCACTACATTGAGGACAGTCAATGTTTTTTCTTATTTCCTATCATATATATAATGTTACAGTGTCAGATCTCCATCTTAAACCTGGCCAAAGTTTCCAAGAACGAGGCAAACGGATTTAAAAAGAATCCCTGTGAGAAAAAAGTTCAGACATCAGTCTGCTGTGAACACTACTTCGTGATGAGCTGACAGAAAAAAACTATTTCTTTATAAGGGAATCAGCTCATTCTCCCAAAACACTCTACTTGAGTGGTACTGTAGGCATTTAATGTACTTCAGCATACAAATAACCAAAAATACAGATTTACTATACATTTTGCTAGCAACATTAGCTTGATATTTCCAGACAGCAGATGCTTTTCCCACATGTATAACTATTAACAGGAGCATATGCAGAAATTATATATTATATATGGCTTGTGATTGAAAAACTAAATCCATTGTTTTGTCACACAAGAAGTAAGTGATGGGCTTAATATTTACCAAACAGAGACGTCCTGCTGTAATATCTCTGCAAATGTTGATATTCCGGATCACGGGTTCGAACATGTATGGATGGATTTGAGAATATGCTATTTCCAATCAAATGTGTTATGCTAGTTGGCTTTAGTTACTAATTACTTAGTTTGCTTTAGTTACAGTTTGATTCAAGAGCCTCCACACCACTAAGAAGATAAAGTGGTGCTCACCAGCTTTGGGTGCTGTAGCTCGGCAGGTGTCCAGAATCTGGCCTTTAGGGAGGGGGGCCATAAAGAGACCAGCTCAACTGAGGGGCTGCTTAACAGGCAGCATGAGACAAATAAGGATTTTTTTTGGAAGTGTGAATCATACAAAAGCTACTCTAGTGGAGTCCCTGGATAAATATAAAGATGCAATCTTTTGTAATATAGCTGGTTTTATTGGTTTTTAGTGTCATGCCCATTAATCACGTTGTCAGACCGAGTCTCATGGATGAAGCCAACAAGTCTCTCTCTTCCACCTGCCAACTTGCCCTCTAGTCATCTGCCCCGTGTTCCTCTAACTGAATATCGGCCTGTCTGTCATTTTCTGTAGCCAGTTTCATTGTTCTTTGGCGCTTAATAAAAAGTGACAGAGCATCATGAGGATGAAGTCTTTAGAGCTGCAGAGCTGCCTCTCAATCCTGTGTTCATTATCGACAAGTTAAAATATAAGCATTGATCGGGCTCAATTTGAACACGACTCAGCGGCTTGTGGACAGACTTTGTTAGCTGATGTAATCAATGTCTTTGTGTTGCTCTGGTCAAAACTAATTGCTTGAATGAGGGCATAAATTGCTTCAATTATACTTAAGTGAGAATTGTATTTGGCAATATTCATCAACAAACTCTTCCTATGTTACTGGCCAGCTTATCAGTGTGTTCACAGACTGTGTGTGTGTGTGTGTGTGTGTGTGTGTGTGTGTGTGTGTGTGTGTGTGTGTGTGTGTGTGTGTGTGTGTGTGTGTGTGTGTGTGTGTTGATTTCCAGGTTTAAAGCCAAGTTGTGGTTGTGTGAGTCCCATCCTCTGTCCCTGGCAGAACAAGTGGTGCCTATCATCGATCTCATGGCGATCTCGAATGCCCTGTTCGCCAAGCTGCGTGACTTCATCACTCTGCGCTTGCCGCCTGGTTTCCCTGTCAAGATCGGTGAGCGCTCAGAGTGATATAGATGGAAGGATGAAGGGAGGGAGGTTAAAATGATGGCTGGTTAAATGAAAGGGATGATGGGAAGTTAATGAGTAGATACAGAGATGGATGGAAAGAAATGAACAGAAAAGATAGCAAATTTGATCACTAACACTAAGAGAATTGAAACAAGGACATGCATCATTAAATGGATGATGAGACTCATACAAAGACACAGTTAACAGATAACTGCAATAATAAATGTCATTCTCTCCACCCTCTGCAGAGATCCCTCTCTACCACATCCTAAATGCTAGGATCACCTTCAGCAACCTGAACGGCTGTGAGGAGGGGACAGGTGGCCGTGCTGACAACGAAGTCGGGGTGGAGGGGGACGGACAGAGAGACGCCCCAAGGACAGACACACCGTCTCCAGGCAGTGACTCCTCCAGTGTCTCCAGCTCCAGCTCCACCAGTGAGAGCACACACCCGTACACGCCACAGAGTTTCCTGTTGTACTACAGTGTCATCTTTCTCGTATCTTCTTCTTCAGCTGATGATTTGTCTCAGCTGTAGAACTTTATCCTTTGTTGTTGTTCTTTTTCAACAACAAGCTCTTGTAGCCTATAAATTATCACTAACATTTACTGCATAACCTGGGTCATACTTCAGATAACAAGCAGAGTTTACAGCCGCTTGATAGAGTTATGAGCAGTGTTTATCACTGGCTTCGAATGCAAGGTTATGTTCTTTGTGTTGTGTGTAATATAATGACTTACTTTCATCATCCTATCACTTGATCAACATCCAAACAGCCATTTTTAAATATGCAGCCGTGTGGAGGAGAGATATAATTTATTGTGAAGGAACCTCTTGTTATCTTAAAGAAGTGTTCCTACATTGGGTTATATACACAGCTGAGTAGTGGATATATCACGCCCACAATAGTGTGGAGGGAAAACCCATCACAGCTTGTTTTAGTCTGAATTTCTCTTTCACTCAGGAGTTGCTCTTTCCTTTTTCCTTCTCCGTACTTCTCCTTCAGTCTGGTGTAGTCTCCTTTACTGTTAGATAACAGTCCTTCCCGTGTCTCTTGCCCTTTGCCTTTCCCCTGTGTGCTGTAGTGTCGTGTCGAGCCGGAGAGATTCCCCCATGTGTGTTTGAGCCCCCGCCTGGATACACCATGCTAGGTGGCAAACAGAGAGACAGCATGAGGGAGGAGGAGGAGGATCTGCTGCAGTTCGCCATACAGCAGAGTCTGCTGGAGGCCGGCTCCGAATATGATCAGGTGGGCTGACTCTAGACTCCTGAGAGATCATCTTCTGTGTGCTAAGCCCCACCTACTTTAGTTACTATTATTATGTGCTGTGAAGCTGTCCGTTCTTGCATGATGATGATGATGATTCAATGATGATGTTGGCAGAAATAAGACTACCACTAAAGGTTTATAGTAATTTTTGGAACATTTGGCCTTTGACTTTAGACACAGGCAGCAGACTTCTTACTTCTCGTGGCATCATTTTCAGCCACAGCAAACAGCTGTTCTCAGAAAATACGCTCTGATAAACCCACTGTACATGACTTGCTCGGTTAGAGACTTGCTGGTGAACACAAAGCATTTAGCAGCTAAAAAGTCAGGTGTTTTCCTCAGGAGCTGGTTGAGATCAAAAACAGAGCTAAAAGAGGATGGCTATTACTCACATTTGGCAGATAGTCTGAATCACCACTCCAAATGAATGATAATTTTATATTACTACATTTACTTGTAAAATGATCACTCAGAAAGAAAGTTAGAAGCGACAGGATGACTCTTATTTTGTCACTCACACAGCGCATAGGCTCTGTCTTAGTAACAAACTGCTGCTCTGCCTCTCGCCAGCAGGGCAATACTGGCGACTCTAAGGAAAGTAGCCAAGGTTTGACCAAAAAAAAAAAACGCTAGATTTGTGTGAAAATGAACTGTTGTGGATCCGCTGTAAACACCCCCTGATGACGTAATAAAAAATGTTTGTGTGAAATGGTTTTGAAAGAGCAATAGCCAGTGGGAAAAGTCCAACACTCCAATTAATGGTGTATCTTCATCACAAACTCAACTCTGTCACTCACTCACTCAGTCGCCGACATTCATGGACTGTGGACAATCTAGCCAATAAGTGATTATATGTCCATGTTGTCTTCACAACTTTGTTTCTCGTGCCCCCAAGTGACCCCAAAAAGCAGTTATTGCAGGTTTAAATGTTGAGTATCGCTCCAAGTACGTCTCCATGTGGAGGAATTCAGTACTTGACGGGCCAGGCCCAGGTATGGTTGCTAAGGTATGACTGGACAAAGGCTGTTGGCAATAGTCAATTATCTCACCTTAGATTGTGTTGAATATTATAGCTCTTGCACTTGTACATGAATATATGCTCATATGTGACTCCTTGTAAAGTGTTAAATGAGTACAGATTGGAAAAGTTTTACTTGAGGTTTTCAGGATTCAAGATTCACAAAGTCATGTTGCCATATCACCCGAGGTGCACAATATTGTCCCTATACCCAGTAAAAATTACAGCAACAAATTTACCAATAAGTCAAGCAAGACCAGACAGACACAGTGAAGTAGGAAAAAAACGACCAGTTTCAAAATAAAAACAATCAATACTGAAGCAAAATCAATAAGTGGAATAAATTGCCTGTGATGTGTGGAGCCCAGACCCAACAATGCCTATTCAACACTGCCTGTGGATACGTGCTGTTTTGAAATCCCAGAGATCTTGGTCCTGATAGTCCTTGGTCTTGTTCCAACGGTACAGAAAGAGAAATATAAATAGGCCCAGTGAGACAGGTCAGAGAACATCCTCTGATTTTTCTTAGCTTGGATACAGGAGAAGAATGTAGAGGAGACAGAGGCAAGGTTGCAGCTCAGGATTTGTGTCATAGTTTGTACAGTCATGTCCAGCACACTGCTGTCCTGAACTGTAGTACTGCTGCTTCAAACAGAGATGAAAAAGGTGCCAACACCTTTATTTACAGCTCTAATTCTGCACCAGGACAGGTGTTAAAGGGTCATCCTCCTGACATTGAATGTTTTACAGCAGTAACTACTGTACAAGGTTACATTACAGCTAGAGCATGAGAGGAGCATTTTACCCCAACCCATACAACCCATACAAATACAACACAGGCCTACAACAATACTACTACACACACACCAAAAAAAAAGCAGGAGCAGTAACAACAACAGCAGCCAGGTCTATAGAAAAGGACTCAGTAATGCTACTGCACAATAATAGCTCACAATAATGCCATAACATTGCAATACACATGCCCAAAAGCCCATTGCTCATGGCACACAAGAACATATCCAAATACGAACATTTTTTCAACAAAGTTTATCAGCGTGATGTTAAAAGTATTTGACAGCTGAATAATAATTGCTCGGCGGCAGCTTAAACCACATAACTTACCTTGAGCTGCAGACAATGTGCTCCAGTAGTTAATCCAAATGTGGCCTTGGTGTTGGTGGAAAGTGTCTCATAAAGGCATGGATGTCCAATGAGTTCAAAATGTCAGGGTGGACATGCATCAGGGAGAGGAGAGTTTGTCTCTTCTGGGTCATCTGGGTATTGCATAGCCATGTTTTCACACCATGCAAGGTGGAAAAGGTCCGCTTAGATGAGGCCACAGAGATGAGCAGGCACAGACATCAAATAAACCGGTTACCCTCTGCTGCCTCTTCACGCAAGCAAAACACACATCCTGACCACACTCCGCCATGAAGCCATTTCCATTTGGCAAACCAAGTTAGTGCTAAATGCACGACTGAAGGTTTCCGTCCCAAAACGTCTAGCCGGAAAATTGAAGTTGGGTGGCTGGAGAGGCTCCTCAAATGCCGCCAAGTCAGTCCCAGCCTGACACCTGTTAGCAGCAGGGTCCTCAGAGGTGGCGGTGCAAACGCATATTCCTACGGGTGCCGGCGGCGGCAGTCTCTGTCTCCGAGGAAAACTTACAACCAAACGAAAATGCTCTCTTGCGAAGGCTGGACTTCATTTGTGTTCTCTTAAGCTGGTGGTTTGGCAAAAAAAAAACTGCAATACGCTTTTCCTCCATTGTGATTTAATCCTTTGACTAGCTATCAATTCTACAGCAACCGGATGTAAATTTAGGAACCTGACCATAGAGTTGACATGACCCGCCCTACCCTGCCTCTGATTGGCTAACGATCGTTGGCTTCGCTAGTTGGATTGGTTAGGTTAATGCATGAGGAGTGAGTAGTTAGGTACAGGTAAGAAGCCATGCTGGGTCAGAGTAGAATTGGTCATGTGAACACTTCATTGTGTTGTTTTGGTTTTTAGCCTCTCCCAATATTTAACATGACACCTTTTGACCTATAAGATCTTTGTCAGGCAGCATTGATCATTGAATTTTGGGAAACTCACTATACAATAGTTTTCTTAAATACTCAGTTTTCTTTCAAAGACAATAAGGAATGATCCATTATATTAGAAGGATTTTGTGATTTTAGTAATTTCGTTCATTAAAATGGTTGCCTTTCTGTTATTGCTTAGTTTGACGCTCATGACGATAAAACTTTGTAATAATAACTGAACTTCAAGTTTCTCAAACTAGATTATCACAGTGTGCTGAAATAAAACTTGGGGCCAGACAGAAGGTAGGAACAGGGCTGATTTAACCCACTTGGGGGCCCCATGGCAAAAATGTCTGCTTGTCCAAGAAACCAGCCAATAATTCTACACTGGAAAGATATTGAAGTTATTCAAATTAGAGTATGAGACCTGCTATAATACTTTAATGGAATACCAAACAAATTTGTAATTAATCAGATTATCACAAAGTTACTGTCACACAAACAACACCTGGGCATTTAGAGCCCTTGAGGGTCTGGGCTGGGGCCCTTGGGCAGTTGCCTTCTTTGCCCAGTTGTAAATCCGGCCCGGGTCAGGAAATAAAACTAAAAACATATTGTATACTGTTGAAAATAGTAGCCATATAAAATATGCTCACTTTGTTGTGAAATCATACAAAACCTTTAACATTACTATTTACTTTATGATAACAGTGTAGGAATTTTAACCTTGTTTTTTAAAATATCTCTCATCAATGTCAATAGCAGTATCAGTCATTGTGTGCTGAAGAGCCAGAGCCAGGCACAATCTAGTTTCCATTCAGTCAACCCCTAACTCACAATCAAGCCCGCTGGCTGTCTCTGAGCTGCGTGTGACGGAGAGGGGCTTTAGCACACATTAACAGGAAAAGGCCTGTAGGTAGAGGGGATGCTTTCATTTTACATGCCTCCCCATTTCTCTGTCTTTCTATGCTTCTGACTCTCCACTTCCTGTGCTCGCTCTCTGACTTCCTGTGCGGCCTCCTCTTTGTGTCTAGGTGACCATCTGGGAGGCACTGACCAACAGCAAGCCAGGAACACACCCCCTGTCCTGTGACCCGAGTCGCCTGGAGAGGTCAGACTTCAAATATCGTCTTCTTTGATGACATTCACTCGTCTTCTTCTGTTGTGTTTCATTTTCATCCGTCCACTGCTGTAAATTATACATCATTTCCCTCTCCTCCATCCAAAATCAAACCCCTCTGTGATCAGTAAATCAACGAGGGACTGCAGATAAACTTGGATGAAAGCACCAATTGTTAAAAATAAAGGGACTTTTATCTTCAAAAGAGCGAGAATCCTCAAAAAACATAAATCTCCATGACTGTCAGCAGAAAAGTGATATATCCTGCCATTCCTTCACCCATATTGTCTCTGACTTCCTCTCACTTTTGTTATGTATTGTTATTCTTCAGTGTCTTGCTCTCTTCCATTGTATTTTTTCCATCCTGCAGTTCTTTCCTTCCATTCCTGACTCACATCCTGTATTCCTGTCTTATCCTCCCCTCCTCTGTTCTCTTATCCATCCTGCTATTCTCCCCCCATCTCCTATCTACTGCTCACTACTGAGTGTGTGTGTGTTTGTAGAGAGAGAGAGAGTGGGAGGATGAGAGAGTTTCCTGCTTTCACAGTCGACAGTGCTGTTGTTGACTTTAGCCTGTTATCTTCAGACTGTGTTTTCTCCCGCTGTCGTCCCTATTTGTAGACGAGAGGATGGATATACAGACATTGCTACTGCAATGTTTACTTATGGCAAAGTTATAATGTTAGAGGAAACTGGATGTGGAAACATTGTTGTCGACCATGAAAAAACAAAAACTGAACTAAACTTAGCCCTAAATATGATATATAAAAAATAACAAAATTACACTTAAAAAGTTTGTGCAACTTGGCAAGAAAATCATTGACTTTTCTTTTAACTTAAGTTATTTTAACCTGTCCTCTTTGTGTCAAGGGATTTATGTAACTAATATTTAACTTCTCGGTCGTGAGGCTGTGAAAAATCTCTCCAACCGTCATGACGAGTGAGCTCAGCATCTCAGTGTTGTAAACTATTATTAAAGGGCAGTGGATCTAAATTTATTTTTTAATGCTTGAATTTTTTTCTTTTCAGATCAGGAACAACAAGTAGCACAAATACAACATAGCTTCAAACTAATAGTTTGTCATTCTTATTTCACGTTTTCCCATCATTAAACAGTTACTTGTCATGTTCAACCTTTCATTACATGAAAAGGTCATTTTTTTCCCCATGTTTTGTCAAAACTCTTTCCATTAATTCTTAAAAGACACGTCACTTTATCCACTGAATACATTTACAGAATAATATCAAGCCAGCTTTACACCAGTTTCTTATTGTTATGGTGTAATTAAAGAATAATAAAGGGAGAACAGCCACACATTATATTACAGCCCACATACCTTTTCATTATTGTGTAATGTAAAATACAGATATCAGTGATTAATAAAGGAGAAAATACAATATAAAACGTTTTCTACTTTATTTTATGATTTGAAATGAAAAAATATCTGATAATGTTCTCCTATACATTTTCTCCTTTGTCAAGCATATACGGCCAAGAAAAGCTTCTGCTATCGTCCAAGAGGAACAGACTATAATGTGATAAAATAATATAATAATATAACATATAGATGTAGGGATCAAACGTGGCTAATCTATAATGTTTAATAAAGAACCTAATAATTTTCATTTTAAATATTTTAATTACACATTAAGAATAAGATATGTGGGATGTTCTTCCCCATCTGATACTTCAATAACACAGTAAGAAAGGTATCCAGTAATTACAAAGAACGCTGCCTTGTTCCCCACAGTCTTGTTTTCTTCCACTGTACCTATACATTTATGTAACAGTAGGAGCAAGTAAGTGTGATATTGGTGCCTGAATCATACAACAAAATGACACTGTAAATTATAGACCGTATTATAAAGTGCTACCAGTATCTGTCTCTTTCTTATATAACCTCCTCAATGTTACCCTGAAGTCTTTTATGACTTTCTATGACGTACTAATTCTGCAACTACAAACGTAAATCAAACATAAAAGCTAAAGAGTCACAGGTTTCTCATTTCTAATAAACCAACAGCAACATCTGACGTATTAGAACATTGAACATTAAACAACGTAATCAATCATTAATAAATGGTTCTTACAACAAGCCATCAACTCTACAGTTGTAAATGAAGTAAATAAACATTCTTTGCTCCAGTGATAATAAATTACAAACCCTCTCTAAAGTACATTTTATAAATATAATCTAATGGAAATTTTATGGCCTGCGGGGTCAGGAATGTGTCCAGAAACGAACGTACTTTGAGTCATAAATCAGGTATTTCAACTTGTGTTCTTCTTTCCTTTACCTCCCTCACCGTTCCCCACCCTAGGACGCCCCAGCACAAGCCCCGCCCACCCTCCAGCCTCTGCTCCACCCCTTCTAAGAAGCAGCCTAACACCTGCAGCTATGACGAGCAGCTGCGCATCGCCATGGAGATCTCAGCCCGGGAGCAGGAGGAGGCGGAGCTGCGGCGGCGGCAAGAGGAGGAGGAGCTACAGCGCATCATCCAGCTGTCACTCATGGAGAAATGAGAGCTGAGTGGCCTAGCAGGGGGGCGGGCGGAGGTCTGAAGGGTGGGGTCTGGACCAAGGACACATGGGAGAAAAGGGCAGTATAGGCTACTTTAAAACTTAAAGCACACTGTGTAAGTGGCTGGAAAAAGTCATCTTAGTGGTTTCATACGATCAAATTGCCTCCTCCTTTCTCTCCCATCACCTGAGCCAGACCTCTCCCCCAAAGCCATATGGTGATGCAGCTGTCCAGGCCTCAGACAGCCGGAGAGGGACCCCCCAGGTTTCCTCTTTCTGGTGCCACAAGGTACTTTTCTTGACCAGTGCCAGTTTACAACCAACAATACATCCAATACAACAAGTTTAGAATGCCTCCTTGGATGAGTGATTTCTGTCTGTTTGCAGGTGTGTGTGTGTGTGTGTGTGTGTGTGTGTGTGTGTGTGTGTGTGTGTGTGTGTGTGTGTGTGTGTGTGTGTGTGTGTTTCAAAACCAGCTCTCGTGCAGGAGTCAACAGGGCACCTTCTGTCCTGTAAAGGTAGTGTGTTAGGCCAACTCTCCGCTCCAGCACTAACACACACACTCACTCTGTGAGTCCTTTTGCCACTGAGTTGTGTGGGCTTCAGTCTTAACTGTGATTGTGTGGAAGGAGCAGTGACAGGGCCGGCGGTGTGGTCAAAACTGTCTTCTTCATTAAAGGTTGGTCAAGTTGAGTTGAATGTCGATAAACCATCTGACTTCCTCAGTTTTTAATGAGAAACATTTAAAAAAAATATTAAAAAAATACAAAAAAACAGACTGGTATATTTCTTTTTTTGATTTGCACAAAATCCAGATGTACTGTACTTAGCTTGTGGGTGGATCACATATATGACTGTTAATGGATATAGATGATGAGTTTGAGCACAAAGTAAACTCAGGCCAGCTCTAGTTTTAGCCTGACGTTAGACTTGCAGCAGCACAGATTTGACGAGACTACCGGATGAACACTTGGTGTACTAACTATACTGTATGTGAATGCGAATGACTTTGTCGCAGGCTTGTGTGTAATCCAAACAATAAAGGGACAATGCTTGTGGTTTGTAAGTGGATTGTGGAGTAGAAATGTATCTGAAAGAGATTTTCTGTATATTTGCATCTTCTCACCTTTAATGAGCGGATGATTTCTGTGTTTCTATGTAGTCACGGTACAGTGTGTGTACAATATTTCAGCATGGTCTGCACCCGTATGAGGATCGTTTTGTCTGACTTGAGTCCAGCCTGGAGACCTGCAATATCAGAGGACGCGCTCTGACGGAAAAATTTTCCCCCGGAAGAGTCACTGTAGAGACGATCAGCAGCAAGGTTAGGTTTTATTGCACCTTAAGAGCAACTCACCACAACATGCTGGAAACAAAAAGCGCAAAATCATCCAACAAAAAAACAATGGATTGGCAAGATTGTTCAAGTTGTTCTAGGTCTCATAATTGCAAGTAACTTTTATTGCAGGGCTCAAGGCTAGCCAAACCATGAGAAACATGTTTTGTTGCAAGAGACGGGAGGAGAGGACCAGCTTGTTTTTTCTTCTGTTTCTTTTTATATTATTTCTTTGAAAGAAATGTAAAACTTTCACACTCCAATATCAGCACAAACTGAGGAGGACCACCTCTCTGCCTCCTCTGTAATTCATAGTCAAGCTTGCCTGGTTGATAAGAAAAATATTCATTTTTTTACTTTTTAAAAAATGTTGCAGAAAAGAGACGCAGCCGAATGTTTTCATGGTGTATGCTGGGAGATGAATTCAGATAATGATTCAAATAAAGAAACATCTTTTTGGAGCAGCAATGTACAAGTGGGTTATTTTTTTAATCCTTTTTCAAATTACTGACAGCTTTAACATGCTTTAAATCCCTTGACCCCCCCACACCCCCACCGAGCCCCCACCCACTGCCCCACCCTGAGTGCTAGCTGCAGCTTTCTACTCCAAGTTAGTTTTCTGGTCCTCTCCAGTGAAGGACAGTGACAAAAGCAATTAATTTCTCACAAGATATGGAAAGCTGCAGCGTCAGTCAGCAGCAGAGAGAGCTGGTCTGTTTTTAGCAGCTTCCACCTCCATCATCCTCCCTGTGACATGGATTCCCAGCGCCTCAGCCAGATCCAAGGGGGTTTTTGCCTGTAGTTATTTTAGGCGTGACAGGAAGGAAAAGGACAGCTTAGAGACTCTAAACCTTCTAAGAAATACCACTCAGTGCACCCAGGCTGCCTTTATGGTGGGTGAGACAGAATAGGAAAAATGAAATAATTTTCTATGTGAATCAGCAGTGTGCAGCCACAACATCTTCCCTTGCTCTGACTCAGCCCGACATTATGAATAACATCAGGATGGTGGAAGCAATGGGGCGCAAGTGTGTGTGAAGGGAATTTGTAAAGAGCCACAGACATAAAAACACGGTGTGTGTGTTTGTGTCTGTCGGAGAGAGCGAGAGGGAGAAGCTGAGAGCATCAGTATGCAAAGAGGACGGATGCCAATCTCAGCCATCACACCCAGGGAGACAAACACTCACTCTAACCCTCTCTCTTCTGCTCCACCGATTTTATTCCTCCCTGTTTCAACTAGTTGTTCATGACAGTTCAATTTGGGGCATATGCTGTAAAAAAAACAACAAAAAAAAACCCTTCTTTAAGCCGTCTGCTGTGTCTACTGAAGTGGATTTAATTGGTGAAATCATCAGGGGATCTTTGCTTTGCTCTTGATTCACTACAAAAACCTGGTCTTCATTTTTTTTACACTCAAAACACAGAATATTAGAAAATATGAGGCTTATGAGTTTGATGTCTTTTTTTAATGGCCTGTTTTTTTTTTAGTCTGGTCAAATTCTTTAATGTCATTCTTTCCAGGTCAGTGCTGCTGTGTGATTTGTGTGTGTGTGTGTGTGTCACAGGAGGGGCCCGGGTGGCCTACATCTCCGTGTTTAATTACCCACATGAAACAGTAGGTAAAATGTCAGCCTGAAATAAACTGTACTGAGATTGTATCCCTGAGGAGACAGGATTGACTTGTTCAAAGACACAGTTACTTGTAGTTAAACATGATAAGTAGAATATATTTCTATCAACTCTAAAGGTTGTAGGGTTGATCTCCACCCATCTGACCACAGTGTAGTGAGTTTGGAGAACTCTTCAGTGTTTTCTTTCCAGGGTAAAACTCCTGTAACTACATTTTAAACATTTTCCCACCTTCCCATGTGCATTAAGAGATGTTTAAAACTGTAGTTCTCTGCCTGGCCAGCAGGTGACAGTAAAGTCAATGATACATTTGGTTACATTTGAGCCTGTATCAGTCATCTCCTTGTGTGTGAGATGAAGCTGAACACAAGAACAATGTCACTACAGTCGAAACAAACTCACCATATTTATTTACTGCTAAAGCACTGAATAAAAAAAAAAAAAAAAAAAAAAAAAAAAAAAAAAAAAAAACACATATCAGCTTTGTCCTGGTTCAATTAAAAATCTGAATAAAGACATGTCTGTCCACTTTGAAAACAAAAACTCATACCGAGACAAGTCTACTGAGATCAGTGCAAATTAATCCTCCCCGGGGTAAGAAACAGATTTCAAATAAAAAGAAAATCATCTAAACAGTAAAGTGCATGTTTTGAGAAAAAGCCCCTCTCACTGTTGCCTTAGAAACTCTGTCCGGGCAGCAAGGGTCACACACTGAAAACGAATGTCTCTTTAAAAAAAAAAAAAAAAGGGACATAGTGGAGTGCGTACAGTATGCACCTGTTCAGTCTTAGTTCGGACATTCATATTTCATTATTGTACATACAAACCTGAACTCCAGTTGAAACAGCACATCCAGTGAGTCACATGCAAACATATGTCATTCAATTCTTACACACTGTACATACATGGGAGGTTACACACGGCCTACAGTTTACCTGCTACACATTCATACACATCATGCAGCCTCTCTCATACATGTGCACAGCTCCAGTTGTGTCCGTTCCAGTCCATTGCACTGAGGTTACATGGTATTGTATAGCACAGTGACGGCTCGCTGCTTTTTCTCAGCAGACGCTTTGCGTGAACGTCTCGACGAGTGTCCCCTCCCCTGCTGACGTGATGTAATGACCGCGTTGTTCCCGCTGCCATCTGGCTCCTCCCTCTCACTTGTCTCTTCTTTTGAACAACAGTGAGGGGCGGAGAAGAGGCCGAGGGACCGTGACGAGGATGAGTCGTCACGGGGCAAACATGTCTGTTCGGCACAAGTGTTTCGAGCCAACACTTTCTGCTTCTTCCAGGTGTCGTCTGGGTGAGACGGGGACATGTTGAAAGAGTCCTGGGAGTGTGCTGATGTTGTCCTGGTGTGTGGCCTAAGGTCCAAGTCGCTGAGGTCGTTGGCTGACAGCTCCAGACAGTCCAGTTTAGCCAAAGAGGCCGACCTCTTCATGAGAGAAGGGGGGGTGAGGCCTGCCTGGCGGATGCGAGCCTCGAGCTCCATGGCTCTGTGCCATCCTGTTGGTTCCAGGAAACTCTTCCCTTCTCGTCTCTTTCGAAGTCGCTGCCCTACTTCTAGCCCCGGAGGGGTCTGTTCAGAACTTGCCCCTTTACAAGGTCCTGGCTCTGTGTCCATAGCGTCTCTCAGCCCCTGAGGCTGCTCTAGTTCCTGTACTTCATTGTCCGCTGTCTCCAGGCTGATGCCCTCATGAAGGAAAGCCTGCAGCTCTCTCAGCGTTTGCTGAATCCTCTCCAGCTCCTGGCTGCCACGAGCCAGCCTGCTCTGGGCATCACATCCGGGGCCACAGCCCCCTGCCTGCCTGCCCTGGGAACTGGACTCCAGTCTCTCATCTGTGTCTGACTCCTGCACTGTCACCCCATCCACAGTCATTTGGTTTGAGCAGGCCTGGGGCAGGGTCTGACACTGCTGGTTTTGGCTGTGGAGCTGGCTCTGTCCTTGGGACTGGGCTGAGGTATTTAGAGATGATTCTACAAATTGACTAGTAGAGGCCAGTGATGATGTCACAGTATGGCTATCTATGGATGTGTGCACAGTGACAGGTATAGCACCAAAGACTTGGCTGATATTTGAGTTGAGGGAGGAGGAAGGGTCTGGGAGTGTGTCCGTGCCTGAGGAGTCGAGTCTTTGAAGCTCATGTTTTGACCCTGTATGCTTCTCTCTGTCTTTGGACTTAGCAGATACAGCCATGATCTCTCCCTGAGTGATCCTTTGTTCTGTGGAGTGATGAGGGGAGCGAAGTGGAGGATGTTCAGTGCTCGGGGAGCACAGGGACAGTCTGACAGGAGGGTGTTCAGTGCTGGGGGAATGCAGCGGGGATCGCTGAGACGCCACCATCTCCATTTCCTGTCTTAGCTTCTGCTCCAGCTGCTTGGTGGCCCGCCGCACCGAGCCCGCCGGCCAGTCGCACGGCAGCATGGAAGGAGACTGTGGGTGTGAAGGCGGAGTTAAAGAGCCGTGCGTAACTTCAGAAGACTCTGCCTCCTCCTGAAGCTCTGGTCGGATGAGCTCAGGGGTGTGGGAGGATGGAGGGAACGACGAAGACGAGGTGGAGGACGGAGTAGGAGAAAGGCAAGACGCAGGGTGGCATATGGCTTCGATCTCAGTGACAATATGGCGGACTGATATTCCGTTGTCATGGGGAGGGTGATGAGTTCGTTCAGGGCTGGCTTTGTCAACACTGTCTTCGGACTGCGGCGATGTCTGATAGACAGAGAGCAAAAGAGACATACACACTGCATTAGTCATAGGTTCATGCCATTTCTCTACTATGTGTGTTTGTGTGAAGCAGTAACAGTCTTCCTTTTATTATAGGTCATGATTTAGTATCTAATTACTTCTTATTAAACTACATTAAGTACTACTTCTACTTAAGTTTTACTGTCTTGACTCTTCTCTCACCCTCCAGCAGGTGTCACTATGATTTATGTAGATTCACTGTGTGATGTGTTTTTTATTCATAGTCTATTTGCTATCTTGTGGTCCTTTAGACAAAATCTGATCCAATCAGGTTCCATTTTCACTTCCAGTGTGATTAGTACTAGAAATGGGGATCTTTATGTAGCCTCACTGATACTCAAGGCCTATCAGCTGCTTACTGTCACAGACCACTGCGCTGGTAGAACTGGAACTTGGTGCTGGTCAACAACAACACTTGTCAGCTCCTTCACAATCAGCTCTTTAAGCAGCTGCGACACGACATTATGTTGAGACATTTTATAAACCAATCAATTATTTGAGAATCTAATCTAATCTACAGATTAGGTGATGATTCACATGTGTTTGTTACAGCCTTACAATCAATCACGCGTTTTCATGAAAGTTATGATATCAAAGACAAAAACTGAAGAATCAGAAGTCTGTACCTGACTCTCATTCCCATGCTCCTCTTCCTCCTTAGCTTCCGTTTCTCTGTTCTCGTCATGGGACAGAGATGTCCTCTGTTGTGCCTGCTCTGAAAGTGTCCGAGTTCTGCCATCTTGGGCCAAGCCCAGAAACTTTTCTCTAGCGCTGAAGAAGTCGATGCTGTCTGTGCTGTGGTTTGAAGACCCATCGGCATCGCCGCGGCTGTCGAAGGCACTGCCTGTTTGTAACTCACTGGGGTTGTTGTTATTGTCACTGGGAGCGAGGGGAAGAAGCAGTTGGAGAGGGGTGGTGTTTGCAGGGCTGAGAGGGCTGTGTTTGTCACTTGGTAAATCAGATAATGATTGATCTAGTATGTCTGAGTCAGTGGATCCCGGAGTGAGGGGAGAGATTTCTTCTGAGCTGCTTCGCTCAGGCAAATTAAGAGACAGTTCTGCTGGTTTGTTTTTGGGCACTGAAATGGACAGATGTGTGGGAGG